AAGAATCTAGGCCCGAAACGTCAGCCTTCCTGCTCCTCTGATGCTGCTTGGCCTGCTGTGTTCATCCAGCTCTACACCTTGTTATCTCATTACTCTCACATGGTCCTTTCTGCTCACAGTTTCACCTTGTGTTCCACCCTAACAATTACTTTTCTCCTACTAAAAGAGGAAAACCTGCCCTTTACTCCTAAATTTTAAAATGATACAAATCATAGAAATAAAGCTTTTAACAGTTCTAACAGCTTACATACATTAAAATGAGGTCACATGAAGACATATATACAATGGTCATGCATAACTCATACACACATGGTCTTCAGTTCATTTGGCCAGCATGGCAAGTTCTCTTGTAACTTCGGTGAATTATTGCAACTCATTAGATTATCCTCCTTTTGGCAAAAGTTATACAAGTGCTCCCTTCAAAATTCAGCCCTGACAAAATCTGACTGCAATTGGTATTTCATCAGATCCACAAATACAGCAACTGTGTGTGTGTATATATGTGTGTCATGTCTATGTGTGGGTGGGTAGATATATGTGAGCCCTTTACCTGGTATGGGGTTCAGGTGGGGGGTTGTGTGGAGCAAGGTAGGTTGGGGTAAGATACCCATGCAGATACTGGACGGAGCATCTCCTGACAGATGTTGCAGGTATGACTTTGCATTAGTAGTTTATTGTATACTGTACAAAATATACATTATGCATTATCAATTTTTCCTGCAAACACACTTCTTTTTACTAGATCCAGCCTAGTAAACAATCTGCAAATACTGCTATTTTCACTTTGTTATGCGTGATTGTTAACACGTCATAAAGCATGCCAAAGGGTGTCAGTTTAGCTCAGTTGGCTGGATGGCTCTCTAATGAGAGTAGCCCCCTCTCTAATGGCTATAGCATGCCATTATATCTCCCAGCCTGTGTATCCGGTTTAAAAACAAAATGCAAATCATGACTTTCACAAAAGTTCTGACCGAATTCGCCCACTGAAATTAATGCAATGTATTTAAGTACTGCTGTCAATACAGAAAGTTACAGATCTGAATCACAACATAGCAAATAGCTTCCAAAAGACTAACAAACATTGTCTGCATTATTATTGCAATGTTTATTATTTACTTCATAAATGCTTTAAAAGCTGTACTAAAATCTCTACTGGAAAATTCATAACTGTAGATCAACTATTTAAACCTGTTAAACAAAAGTTTTTTTTTCCTTGGATCTCTGATAAAAATGTTATGTGTGGTAATTTATTTTAAATTAAATATTGATTCCAGCAGGTTAGGTGTCTGTCATCCAGGCACATAAGCTTAATTGTACACTAATGACCTTGAGCTTATTCCTCACTTCACACTATGGTTGACAACTCAATTCACATTTAGTCTACACTGTATCACCTCTTCTTTTCTAACAGTCCTAACTCATCTAACCTAGTGCCCAAAATTGAAGATGGGATCAATATCAAACATTGTGGAGTAACTGGCATTTGACACATATATAAATTCATTACTGTTATGTCAGGAATCTTCTGTAGAATTTATACAATACTACTTAGGATTAAAAAGTATATATATAAAAGTTATATATAGGATTAAAAAGTCAAGTTATTAAGACTTTACACAAGTAACCTTTACACAAGTAATATTTGAGAGGTTGAAATCCACCCTCTTCCATCAACACTATTTGCTGTCTGTTGTTAAGAGAAACGGGCAGGCAGTACACCTTTGAGGAGTGTTTGCAGCTGATGGCAGTACAGACTCAGTAGAGTGGGAGAAATAGTAGGCATTTGACTAACTAGGGTCCTGCTCATCCAGCAGCTCAAAATACTTAGTATCTCTTTATCCCATCTACCCAATCTATGGGGATACCCCCATTCTCCTACTCAGCACTGCACTGAAACAGATTCACTCAAGTTAGCTGCAGAGAGTATGGCAAGATCTGGCTGCGGCCCGCATACTAGAAGAGAATGGCTGTATGGAACAGGGGTTATTTTCTTACTGTGAGGAGCAAAACCCAAAAACCCTTTTCCATAAAAGGTGTGTTCCTCAAGCAGTTGAAGTGGTTTCAAAACTGACATATGCTAACCATTCATAGGGAAAATTACAGCTTTCTTAAGTTGCTTTTGGTCCTTTTGCGATTCACCTTAAATCAAGGTCCTCTTGTACCTGACTCCTTTGCCAAAGGCAATGTTTTCTCTGTTTTGAATATGTGCGAGTCTCTCATGATTTTGAGCATCGCTATTAAATTTGTTATCTCTTTTTGAAGGAAAACAATCCCACCTTCTACAATCTATCGATGTAACCAAAGGCGCCCCTCTTGGGAAGCATTTTATTTAAATCTTTGCTGCACTTTCACATTGCTCCTAAAATGCTGTGCCTAGCATTCCAGTTATGACTGATTCAGGAACAGAAACAAAGTTGCTGGAAAAGCTCAGCAGGTCTGGCAGCATTTGTGGAGGAGAAAACAGTGTTAACGTTTCAGGTCTGGTGACCCTTCCTCAGAACTGAGTTCTGAGTTCTCAGTTGAGTTCCTCAGTTCTGAGGAAGGGTCACCGGACCCGAAACGTTAACTCTGTTTTCTCCTCCACAGACGCTGCCAGACCTGCTGAGCTTTTCCAGCAACTTTGTTTTTGTTCCTGATTTACAGCATCCGCAGTTCTTTTGGTTTTTATGACTAATCAGTCTTTTTGTAATACTTGTTTTGCCCCTATTCATGAATAAAAACACAAAGTGCTGGAGAAACTCAATAGGTCTGGCTGCATCTGTGGGGGGTGAAACAGAGTTAACATTTTGAACCCAGTAAGACTCTTCTTTAGAACTGCAAGTTTTAGAAAATGATGTTTTTATGCTGTTGGTACAGGGAGAGGAGAAGCATGTAGAACAGATGATGAAGGTGCCAGAGCAAAAGGCAAAGGGAATGCTAATGGTAAAAGAGAGATATCCATGAAGAATAGGTGTCGATGATAGGTGTTAATAGCAGAAAATAGGTCAACTCTGTTTGAGAACAAAACCATGCAAACAAGACATGTGGATGAATGGGGAGGCAGAAGGGTAATCAAAATGGATGGCAGTGTTCATGCTCTGATGTTGCTGAACGCAATGTTAAGTGTTGAGTCCTGAAGGCTGCACTCTGCATTGAGTTCAATAAATTCAGACCACAAACACTGTCCTCTATTTGACTGCACCACGCGTCCTCTTTGCACGGGTAACAGGAAGCAGAGTAGGCAAAAATACGGCATCTTCAGGTTGGCAAGTTGTGTTGACAGGAATGCCACAGAGATCAGTGGTGAGGCCTCCTAGCTTGTCCTATTGTCTAGAAACTACTTACAATGTATATCAATGACTCAGACAAAGCTAATATATGGCTGCTAAATTTGCTGATGGGACAAAGATCAGTCAGAAAGTTAGTTAGGAAGAATGCAAAAAGTTTGCAAAGGGACATAGATAATTTAAATGTGTTGACCAAAATTCAACAGATGCAGTATAAATGTGGGAAAATGTGCTTTTGTCCATTTTGGCAGGAAAAGTAGAAAAGTGGAATTTAACTGGAGAGAAACTGCAGAACTGAGAAGGTACGGAGTGATCAGAATGCTCTGGTATACGAGCGACAACTGGGTACAGCAAGCAATTAGGAATACAAATTAAACATTATTCATTATTTTCGGGGAATGGAATATCAAGTAGGCATATTGTGCAAGACACTGGTGAGTGTCTGTGAACATTTTTAGCTTGCTTATTTAAATAAGGATGTAAATACATTATCTCTTGCACTTTGACAGCAACTACTTCCTGGCTAAATGTAGATATAAAGTATTCAATCTTGCCCTCTGCCTCTGTGCAAATGATCTTTTACCCCCTAATTAGCTCCACCAGCTTTTAAGACCCTTTACTACTTATATGCCTAGAGAAGACTTTAGAATTCCATTTAGTCATTTCACTTCTCATTCTTTTTCCACTTTCGCTCTGATCTTTCTACCTTCAGCCTGATTCTTACACTTGTATTATCAGTCATATACACCCCTTTTCCACTTTATCTTACTTTTACATCACTTTCATCATTCACGGGTCTTTGACTTTGTCTTGTACCCTTCGTGGGAATGCACCTCAACTGTATCCAAACTGTCTCCTTTCAAAAGGCACAACGTAGTTCTGTTAAGAGTTCTGTGTATTAATATTTAATCTACCCTGCCTATATCGATCCTCAAACCAATGAAATTCGCCCTCCTCCTGTTAAAGGATTTTACTCTAGATTGGCCTTCCTTTGTCCTTTTCCCTAGCTAACCTAAACCTCATGAAACATCAGCAATTGGAAATAATACTGATAGAACATTGGAGGTGAAATCCCTGGAATTACCCCAAAACCAATTAGATGTTGCCGTGGAGGAACTTAAGGTCCTCTGTAAATGAAGATAAGTGAAATTGCCTTCCTGACATCACTTACAAACAGTTAAGTTTGGAAAATTTAACCTTTCATCATTAAATGTAACATCTAATTACTACAAATTATACTAATAATGACCTTAATTATGAAATCCTTTAAAGAGAGTTTCAACTTCATTATCTTCAACTATCATTTAAATTAGTGCAAGATTACCAATAGTTCTACTGTGAAGGAAAAGTCTACAGTGCAAACACGCAGTAACACACTGTAATAGTCCCAAATTAATTTTCTATGGTCCCAGAAGAATAGAATTGAATCCCTACAGTGTGGAAACAGGCCCTTTGGCCCAGCAAGTCCATACCAACCCTCAGAACATCCCACCCAGACCCATCCCCCTAATCTACACATCCCTGAACACTACGGGCAATTTAGCAAGGCCAATCCACCTAGCCTGCACATCTTTGGACTGTGGGAGGAAACCGGAGCACCCGGAGAACGCAGACACAGGGAGAATGTGCAAACTCCACACAGACAGTCGCCTGAGGGTGGAATCAAACCCGGGTCCCTGGTGCTGTGAGGCAGCAGTGCTAACCACTGAGCCACCGTGCCGCCCTAAAGAGAGGAGGAAAAAAAAAGGCAGCACAAGCATGTGAGCAAGATGGAGAAACACAGAGTTCAGAATAATAAGAATTAAATTCCCTGACTTCTCCACATAATCAAATAATAGCCGTGTTGATTTTGTCAGTAAAAACAGTCCATGGATTAAATGTCTAGAATAATACTTACAGGACACCTGGGTGAAGACTGTACTTCTTCTTTCCAAATTTTGTTTGTTGAGCAAAATAATCGTAACGTTCAGATTTCTTCCACATGTAATAATATGCAACGCATTCACCAACGGAACGTGTTCTTACCTAGATAGATTCAAGAATGCTGTATGTTGTGAAGCAAATCTATAATTTACTCATCATGCAGTCAATTTTAAATTGGCATCAATTATCAACAGGATTTATTTTGAAACTACATTTTATTATGTACAAATTTTGTGATCAGTAATATAGAACATAGAACTTAGAATCAAAGTCTGTGCTATTGGATCCATCATGCCTGGAAACAGTTTCCTCAATTATTTATCCAAACTGCTTAGTGCTGAATCAACTGCTACAATTTTGTAATACAGTGAATTTCAGACCACACCTACTTGCTGTGTAAAAAGAATCTTCTTGTCTCCAGCTGTTCTCTTGCTAATCACCTTAAATCTATGCCCTCTGATTATGAGCAACATTTCTTCTAAGTTGCTTAGATGCATGCCACTCACTGATGTAGTACTGCAGAACTTATCATGCCATGGACAAACAAGCCATGCACAAGAAACTTTTCCTTTAAGATTTGCACAATTGGAGACTCACAACATTCTTAAAAGGGACCATGCAGTGCAACAAATCAGCTGTGTACAGCATTGGGAAATTGGTGAGAACATGATTACTGAGCCGTCTAACACTGGAAAGAGTTTATTTTTACTTCTCTACCAAAGCCACTGAGAATTTTGAATACTATCAAATCTCCCTTAATTTTCTGACATCACTCTGGAAAATGTCTTGTACTTTTTCTAAACTTCTAAAGCTCAATTCAGAAAGGTTGTCTAGAATGGAACACAATATGTCAGTTGACACCTAACTAGTGTTTTAGAGAGGTTTAACATAACTGCATTCTTTTCATATATTAATAAGGCCTAGGTGTCCTTTATAACAATCTTTTCAACTTAACCTGTCAACATCAGAGATATGTGTACAATAACACAGTTCTCTGTTCCCGCACCCTCCATAAAATTGTTTGGACCATTTACATTTGTATTGCTTCTCTCAGTTCTTCAAATCAAAATTTATCACTTCACATTTCTCTGCATTAAATTTCATGATGCATGCGTCTGCCCTGATCTTGAAGTGTCCTCCTGAAGTCTGCAACAATTCTCCTCTGTTTATGACAAACAGGAATTTCATGTCATTTGAAAACTCTGAAATTTGTAACTACCAAGACCAGGTAGTTAATAAATATCTGAAAGGGCAATGGTCTCAATACCAATCCCTAAGTAACATCAAGGTATATATCATGTCCTGTGTGAAATACAAAAAAAACTACTCACCACTTCTCTCTGCTTCTTTCCCTCAACTTATTTTGCGTCCATGCTGTCACTGTCCCTTTCATACACTTTAAGTATCTCCCAGTGTTTTATATACACTTCTTCTTTACCACTTTTTATTTAATATAAGATTCCTAATATTTTCTCCTTCACTGCTATATTAGCAGCATTATCTTTGTTAGTGAAGACTATTCATTCAGTATCTCAGCTATGTCCTCAGTCTCTGCAGGATTTTTTTCCTTTTGACTAATTTTTTATTACAATCTTATTATTATGCAAAGTTCATTTTTCTTTTTAAATTAACTCCTAGTTGCAGGATAAGTTATTTATTTTCTACAGCCCATCTGGACACTATTGCTGAGATATTATTTAACATGCATTTACACCACTTAATATTGAATTGGAGAGACTACAGAATGCCAGGAACAGAGGGATCTGGGTGCCCTTGTAGATGAAATAGAACTATTAGCTTGCAGGTACAATTAAACAATTAGGAAAGCAAATGTACTGTGGCCTTTATTTTGCATGAGACAGTATAAAAACTGGAAGTCCTACTAGAATTATACACATTTTATTCACACCTGGATTATAACACATATTTTTCATCTTTTTTTTTTAGGAGACTTGTTATTGCATTGAAGGCAGTTCAACAATGTTCAGTAAATTGATACACGAGATAAAGGTGTTATGAGGAATAGTTGGTTCTATAACTATTGGAATTTAGAATAATGAGATGCAATTCTGATTGGACCTGGCAATAGTAGGTGCTGAGAAGATATTTTCTTTCTTATCAGAATCTACAACCTGGAGCCACAGTTTCAGTGAAGGGTCATCAATTGAAGGTAAAAGGATTTTCTTCTTTCAGATGTTGATGTTGGATATTGCTATTTCAGAGACTATGGAAGCTAGAAACATGGTGGAGATGTTCAAAAAGCTGTCATTTGGTAAGGGGAAAGGCTCACAGTGGAGTTGAGGCTTAGACCTGGTCAGCAATGACTGCTAATTGATGGAGCAGGCTTGAAAGGCCATAGTGCCTACTCCTGCTCTTATTTTTGATCTCCTTATTTCAGTCAGCTGCTTGACTACAAATAACATATTCAATTAGAGTCATAGTCATAGAGGTCTATGTATAGAAACAGGCCCTTTGGCCCAAATTGTCCGTGCCGACCAGTTTTCACAATTACACTAGTCCCATTTACTTGCATTTGGTCCATATCCCTCCATACCTATCCCACCTATGCACCTGTCAAAATGTTTCTTAAATGACAAAATTGTACCCGCCTCCACCACTACTTTTAGCAGCCTGTTCCAGACTCTCACCAGCCTCTGAAAAAAATTGCTCCTCTGGACCCTATTGTATCTCTCACCTTAAACCTACGCCCTCTAGTTTTAGTCTCCCTTACCATGGGAAAAAGTGTTGGCTATCTACATTTCCTATTCCTCTCATGATTTTATAAACCACTATAAGGTCACCCCTCAGTCTCCTATGCTCTGGGAAAAAAGTCCCAGCCTATCCTTATAACTCAAACCTTCTAGTCCAGGTAGCATCCTAGTAAATCTTTTCTGCATTCTTTCTAGTTTAATAATATCCTTTCTATTGTAGAGTGAGCAGAACTGCATACAATACTGCAAATGTGGCCTAATCAGCATCTTGTACAGGTGCAACAAGACGTCCCAACTCCTATATTCAATGTTTTGACCAATGAAAGCAAGCATGCTGAAAGCCTTCTTCACCAGCCTATCTAACTGTGACTCCACTTTCAAGGAACTATGAACTTGTACCATTAGACCTCTTTCTTCCATAACATGCCCCAAAGCCCTACCATTGACTGTATAAGTCCTGTTCTGGTTTGACCTCCAAAAAGCAACACCTTGATTTATCAAAATTAGACTCCATCTGCCATTCCTCTGGCCCAGTTGATCAAGATCTCACTGTCTTCCCAAATATAATCTTCTTCACTATGCACTGTACCATCATTCTTGGTGTTATCCACAAACTTACTAACCATACTTCCCAAATTCTCACCCAAATCATTTACATAAATGAAAAACAACAGCGGACCCAGCACTGCTTCCTGTGGCATACCGCTGGTCATAGTTTGAAATACCACTACCCTCTGTCTTCTACCTTCAAGCCAATTTTGTATCTAATTGGCTAGCTCTCCCTGGAGCCCATGAGATTTAATCTTACTCAACAACCCACCATTCCATATCTTGTCAAAGGCCTTGCTACAATCCACATAGACAACATCTAACACTGCCCTCATCTATATTCTTGGTCACCCCTTAAAAAAACTCAATCAAATTCGTGAGACATGATTTCCCATGCACAAAGCCATGCTGACTATCCCAAATGAGTCCTAGCCTCTTCAAATACCAAATTCTGGATCATGAGAGCAGTGTTATTCAATAACCGAGAGTTTACATGTATGAACAAAGTCAAATGGTTGAGAGAATTTTTATATTGTTTCACACATCAAAATGGCTGTCTTTTTTGTAACACAGATCTTTAGATTTTCCTAATTAACCTGTTTAGTGATGTTACTGCACACCTCTTAAGCAGGGGAACTTGACCCCAGGTCTTCTGGCTCAGAGTCAGGGATATTACCTCAGCACCACAAGAGCCCTTACTTAGATCTTTAAAGACCAGAGGCAAATTAAACACCTATAGCTACATCAGAATGTAAATTAATGCTCTGGGCTCTGGGCTCTTTACTCATTTCAAAAAGTAACAAATAAGCATGCTTGACATTTTAACTGGTCAATAAGACTTCAGTAAAGCTGAAAAAGACTAAGGTGTCAGTTATATCGGCACACAACAGGATTACATTTTTTTCATTTCTGTATTTATTAGCTAAACATGAACAGGTAATTTCAAACAATATCAGTTCCCACACTGAAGCGTTTCCACTAATAGCCAAGTTGCTGCAACACATTAGCTGAAGCCAAATAATCTTTCCTGTCAAGTGGTGCATCTGTGATTGTGCAAAGCTCAAATGACAAACAGACAAGGGTTCAAAAGAAAAACAAGAAATAATGCCAATATGTGTAAAGCGTAGTGGCTAGAAAAGCAATGTAACAGATTAATATAATACAAATCTTGGATCAACTGGTTTCTCCTGACTACTCTTTCGCCATTAAATACTTGTGTTCACATTATAATGGAATACATAACTTTACATTAAGGAGTACATTCTATCAGCACTCTCCAGTTCGATTATCCCCCACAACTTATCTTAGCTTCACCTGAAGACTAAATTTGGTTTCAATTCATTGTGTGCAACACCTTGGGATGTTAGGAAGTATAAAACGTTTTTTATTTATGGATTTAATTTGAAAAAGACATTCCATTTTAGCCATACCAAAGCTAGAAAATATTCAACAGAAATAATTAACAGGTCAGACTGTATCTGTAACGAGAAGCGAGTTAGTTTTTCAGTTTGATGTCCCTTCACAAATCATAAAAAATAACTCTACTTCTCATCGCAGCAGCTGATGGAACTGACACCTTTTCTGTTTTTAAATTCAGATTTCCAGCTTCAGCTACATTGTGCCTGGATATCGTTTTACCTTATTTGCTTGTATAAGATGGAAATTTTTGCCATGAACCCGAAGTCCATGTTCAAAATTTCTGCATTCCTCTTCACTCCATGCACACAGTTCATCTGCAAGTGCAAAACCATGGTATGTTATCACTACAACACAGAGTGATGTGATACTTCCAGACGTCGATAAAACAATTTCTAAGCTCCAAATGTAAGGTTATATCACAATTGGTAGCCAAGTAATAATTTGCAACACAAACCAGTTACTTACTCTCATCCTGTTGGACTACAGCAAGTTAGAATAGATAAAGGAAATTTCAGAAAGTCTTTCCATTATAAATAAAGTATGCAAGAAACTGCAGAAGGCAAGTATCTGTAAGTAAATCCGTCATCATATGTCCATAATAGTTATCATGGAAGAGGAATGGGTCACATGAGAAGCACTGATGAGATAGGAGGCCTCACTCTAAAATAAATCGCTTATTGAATAGAGGGTGAAAGATTTTAAAAAAAAATTCCCTACCTTGCACTACTTTGACATTAAATCTTAGTCTTCTGAGGGCTTCCTCTGCATTGAAGTTACATTTTACAAGTTCATACAAGGCCTGTAGATTAAAAAGGGGTTGTAAAATAAAAGAATTGAAACCTTACACTCTATAGATAAAAATGCAGACTAAATTATCACTGAAATTAATGTCTTGAAACATGAATCTATTTAAAAATTTCAAAACAAAAAAAAACAAATCTTGGAAAATGAGGATAGACAGGATCTGCGACAAGAATGGAGAAACCAAGAACAATTAGTAATTCAGATGTTCACTTTAATATAAATACTTGTTCTCTCAGATAGTAACATGTCATGGCTTCATATCTATACATGAACATGTCTGTTCCCTCCACAGAAAGACTTGGCCAACACTGTTTCCAAAAACTTGTTTTTTTTTCAGATTACCAGGATTTTCAGTTTTTTGTTAAAAATAATCAATGTATACATTTAAGTTAATGATTACAGTCAAAATAAACAAGGATGAGAAACGCCAGCAGATTTTTAAAAATATCCATTAATATCTAGAAAGATCACACAGTGTCTCTTTGCACTGTCAAGTTTGATCTACCGTTATATCCAGTTATTTATTTCACGTATTAATCATTTTGGCTGAAAAACATCTTGATGATATTAGTCAAAAATTTGCCTGGTGCTAGTTTGAACCAAATATCTTCTTATCCCGTCAACAGTTTGAATTTACTTTAATGGAAGCTCAATGGTCACACTTGAAATGATCACTTGAATGAACATGTCCTTTTAAAAGTGCTAACTTTATCCATGACTCTTGCACGACCTCTTACACATAAATTTTGAAAACTGTGTTGCTAAGCTACAACTGAGTTATTTTGCTATCTTTCCACCTCATACATCAAATGGAACATAAGAGCATGTTCGATGGTAAATAAGAACTTTCTTGCAATGTATTACCTCTGAACTGATTACAGTATGAAATGCATTCTGAGATTTGTCTGGTAGTGTAATCAGTAATTGTAAGTTGATTTTAAGTTATAGATTTGGATAAAACTTAGCGATTGTTAATGCTAAAATGTTAGATAAAGTACACTTCAGACTTCCATTAAAAGTAATCTGTATAGACTGACTTGTCACCTGCTCACTATCTTTAATGAGTACTCCTTCAGGCAAGCTCTCATTGGTTTTCTCATCTCTTGTTCTCTTTACCGCTTTGTATAGAAACTCTTCAACTTGTCTTTCCGGAAGAACATAGGGATCCCAAAGCAACTGATCCTCATTGTCATAAACTAGAAGTATAGAAAAATAGCAGATATAAGGACAATCAAAATACAAAACATAAGAATCATTCAACATTGAATCAATATCATTAATAGCCTAACTGCAGATGTTGATTATTCAAAATTACAGGCTTAACAGAGAACATGCACTTTTAACGTTCCTTTCACATCCCCAATAAATTCCTAAGTACTTTACAGCAAATGAACTACTTTTGAAATATAGTCACCGGTTGTTTGCTGAATTCATAGAATCATAGAAATATTACAGTTCAGAAGGAGGCCATTTGGCTTGTTGTGTCCAAGCCAGCTTTCAGCAAGAGCAATTCACTCTAATCCCTGATCTCTTCCTCGTAGCCTGAAGTTTTTTAATCCTCAAGCAATTGTCCAATTATAAATAAAAACCAAAAGAACTGTGGATGCTGTAAATCAGAAACAAAAACAGAAGTTGCTGGAAAAGCTCAGCAGGTCTGGCAGCATCTGTGATGGGAACTCAGAGTTAATGTTTTGAATCCAGTGGCCCTTCCTAACAGCGCTTCAGTTCTGAGGAAGGGTCACTCGACCCGAAACATTAACTCTGATTTCTCTTCACACATGCTGCCAGACCTGCTGAGCTTTTCCAGCAACTTCTGTAATTGCCCAATTCTCTTTAGAAAGTCCCGAATGAATTTGCTTCCCCCATGTTTTCAGCCAATGCTTTCCAGCATATCAGGCCTCAATGTGATAAATAACCAGTCAATCATTTTTTGGTGATCTTGGTTAATTAATAAATACTGGACAAAACACTTGTAGAAATCCACCACTCTTCAATAATGTCATGAGATTATTTATGTACATCCAAACCGGCAGAACTTCTATTTAATACCTCATCCATCAAGAGACACTAAATAGATGGTCCAAAGTTAAAATAAAGGAAAAACCATGTGCTGCATTTGTATAAGAGATAGTAGAAACTGCAGATGCTGGAGAATCCGAGACAACAAGGTGCAGGGCTGGATGAACACAGCAGGCCAAGCAGCATCATAGGAGCAGAGAGGCTGACGTTTCGGGCCTAGACCCTTCATCAGAAAAGGCTGCATTTGTATAATGCTTTAGAAACCGATCAATGGTTTGGATTATGTGGGCTGGATTACACATCAAAATAAAAGTGAGATTAATAATAGTGTCTCTGTTACACATACATGACACAGTAACTTCAGGTAAAGAGCAGATGCCAATATCAAATTTCAAATGTTACTGTTTGAGTTGCACTGCTCAATTCAGCACCGACATGATGTGGAGGTGCTGTGCTGGAGTGGGGTGGACAAAGCCAGAAGACACACGACACCACGTTATAGTCCAACAGGTTTATTTGAAATCACAAGTTTCGGGGCGCAGCTCCTTCGTCAGGTGAAGTGATACACATGGAATGTCATGAAATGCATGGCAGGTATGCAATAAACCCCCCACAAAGTGTTAAATCTCATAACTTCAAGTGCTTAAGGTGTGAATTGTTCATTACTGCCAATCAATATGCCTGGAGCCGAAAATGCAACATGGAGTTTCATTTCTGTATGTGTAAGCAACTGCTGGGAGATTTCTAAAGATGTGCAATTTTAAAAAGAATTAATATTTCCTGTCTCTTTTCGCTCTTTCCTTCTCAACCTACTTACTTTCCCTCCTTTTCTATACCAACTTTGACATCCAAACTAATTTTTCTAATTTATACTTTCTTTGCCATACATTTCCACAATTATTCAGTATGACTGATTCATGAGACGTGTAGCTGGTTTCCCTCTTCATACAGGCTCCAGATACTCTGTTTACCTCACTGTGGTGTGTCTACTTTGAATTTCAACAACTCTATGGGTGTAGGAGTAAGTTCAGCGAATGGAACATGCCTTACATTTCCTGCGACAGTGAAACCTGACCAATTAGGTTTCTTGCTCTAACCCACTTCAGTTAACTAAAGAGTCTTGACTCTGTTCAAGGGACACAACTGGAATTCTGCTCTGGTATCTTCCAAGCAGTGACAACCTTGAGCAGATTTCCACAGCATTGAAAAGGTTCACCAGACTTGACACTACCCTGCACTGCATCTAAATGCATAGCAACCCACACAGAAATTTGTTGGAACATTACAACACTGGAAGAAGACAAGAAATGCCCCCTTTTTACAGCACCAGCTGCTATATGTTGATGAATGGATAATTGGTAGAATGGATTATGCAGTTTAGTGGGTGAGTGAGCAGTACCAGCTGGATGCTGTAGTCAGATCAGGCTGGTGTGGTGGTCTAATTGGGCTGGGTCAGAATGATAGTTGGGATGTCAGGGAGAGGAAGTGTTTAGAGCGCCAGTTGTGAAGTAATCCAGATTTTAGCCTAAATTCCCAGAACAGCATAAGAAGTAGAACAGAAGTAGGCCACTGAGTCCATCAAGTCTGCTCCTTCATTCAATTAAATCATAGCCAGTCAGAAAATCCTCAACTGCACTTTTCTGCTATTTCCCTATAATCCTGGATTCCCTGACTGACAAAAAATATGTCTGTCTCAGCCTTGGATATTCTTAATGACCCAACCTCTTCAGCCCTCCATGGTAAACAATTCCAAAAGCTCACTATCACCCTCAGACAAGAAATTCCTTCTCATCTATCTTAAATGGGTTTTCTCTGAAATGATGCTCTCTGGCTCTAGACTCCTCCAGAAGTGGAGCACCTGCCCTGTCAAGCCCTCGAAGAATCATATGTGTTTCAATAAGGACTCCTCTCATTCTTCTAAACTTCAATGAGTACAATTCCAAATTACTCAACCTCTCTTCATAAGAAAATTACTCCATATCTAGAATTAATCGAGTGAACCTTCCCTGAATGTCTCTAGTGCCAGTATATCTTTCCTCAGTTAAGGGGACCAAAACAGTTCACAGCATTCTAGGTGTGATCTAATGCCTTGTGTAGTTGTAGCAAGACTTCCCTAAAGACCAACAGTCCATTTGCCTTCCCTATTACCTCCTGAACTTGAATGCTAGATTTCTGTGATTTTGGCATGAGGAAACCTGAATCCCTCTGTGCTACAGCTTTTTACAGTCTCTATTTAAATAATATTCAGCTCTTTTCCAAACCAAAGTGCATAATCTCACATTTTCCCACATGATATCCGATTGGCCAAGCTCTTGCCCACTGATTTAACTCTGCAGAATCTTCATATCATCCTCACTATTTGCCTTCACGCCTCTTTTTGTCTCATCCACAAACATGGTGATTGTACATTCACTACCTTCATGCAAGTTATTAAATATATAACTGTGACTCCAGTAATGATCCCCGTGGCACTCACTAGTTACAGACTGCCACCCTGAAAATGCCCCTTTTATCTAAACTGTGGTTAGTCAATACTCATCCATACTAATATACTATTCCTAACACCACGGGTTCTTAATTTTTAAAAGACCTTATGTGTGATAACGTATTGAATGCCTTTTGGAAATCTAAATACACTGCATCTACTGGTTCACATTTATCCTGCTTGTTGTTACCTCCTCAAATAATTCTAAAAAATTGCCATCATGGTTTTTCCTTCATGAATCCATGCTGACTCTGCTTGATTATATTATGTATTTCTGAATGTATTACATCCTTTATAATAAACTGTCAGTATTGTTCCGATGATGGATATTAAACTAAGTAGCCTAAAGTTATCTGTTTTTCATCGCTCTCCCTTTTTGAACAAGGGAGTTACATTGACAGCTTTCCAATCCTCTGAGACTTTTCCAGAATTTAACTATTATTGGATTTAAGGATTTTAATAGCAGATTCATTATCTAAGTAACTATTTCCCTTAATATCCTAATCCTGAGCAAATACACAGGGCAGCACGGTGGCTCAGTGGTTAGCACTGCTGCCCGTTTCCTCCCACTGTCCAAAGATGTGCAGGCTAGGTGGATTGGCCGTGCTAAATTGCCCATAGTGTCCAGGGATGTTTAGGTTAGGTGGGTTAGACATGGGAAATGCAGGGGTAGGGGAATGGGTCTGGGTGGGATGCTCTTTGGAGGGGTGGTGTGGACTTGTTAGGCTGAATGGCCTGTTTCCACACTGTAGGGATTCTACGAATCTATGAAGTACCGTGTAACAGTGCAAAGTGTCCAACTTTAACTCAGCGTCAAAGACATTAAGGGTGCATGCATCCCCAAGATGGTAGTTTAAACTTCCTGTGAAATATCCACATAGGTCCATGGGTTGGAACTTCCAGGATTCCAACTTATGCCTTCAGTTGTAAATCTGGTCTCCATTGAGCTGGAGATTGGAAGATTTGACCTACTGCTTCCTATGAAGTTCAGGGCACTGATGCTTCTCCAGTTAAGCATGAGTCGTGCAGCAAGCAGTGGAGACAAGCAAGTGAGTGAGCATCTGACGTGTTTCTACTGGGGCAGTATACTTAATTCTCCAGCAAAAACAGATTGATAATTTATTGAAACATTTGAAAGAAACATTCTACAGATTCAGTACAGCTAGGTACTAGCATGAACAATATCCAGACGACCAATGCCTCAGAAGATGGTGGAGGGTGGGGATCAGATAACATTTTCTGTCATGAAATTGCTTTATTGTCGAATATGATTTTACAATCACACCATAGAAAAAAATTTGCTTTGAAAAGAATGATTGTTACCATACATTTAGTATTTTTTAAACACAAAGGTGGATAGGTCCTTGTTAAACAGGGTTATCAAAAGCTATTGAGTATAGACTGGGAATGTGGAATTTGAAATACAAGCTGATCAGCCGTGAACAAAAAAACAGAAGTTGCTGGAAAAGCTCAGCAGGTCTGGCAGCATCTGTGAAGAGAAATCACAGATTTTATTTTGGTTCTGGTGACCCTTCGTCAGAAGTGAGGAAGAGTCACTGGTCCCGAAACATTAAATCTGATTTCTCTTCATAGATGTTGCGAGACCTGCTGAGCTTTTCCAGCGACTTCTGTTTTTGTTTCTGATTTACAGTATCTGCAGTTCTTTTGGTTTTTATTCAGATCAATCATGAT